TGTTGGGCCAATATGGATGAATGGCGAAGTCCTGATTGAAAAGTCACTCTGAGAGAGCTGGTCACAAAAGCATTTGAAAGGGGGAGACTAAATCTATTAACAATACTTCGCATGAGAATGAACATTCTATCGAAAATGCTGTTGAAAGCTCATCTTCAAGCATATGTGCACGAATAATATGTTAGTGCAAAACAAGGCAAATAGTGAATAAGTGTTAAGTTAGACTGAAAGCGACATTTATACCGTTTGTCCTAGGGTATGCAATAGACTTACCTCCATGTGGCGCACCCTGGGCAACGTATATTCATACAGCAAAAGTCTACAAATCCGCAGTTGACTTCTGACTTCAAACTACCATCACCTCACTCTATGTCACATTCGACTATTTTCACAGTACTCACTTCACCTTTTTTCTACCTTTGTGTTTGTCTCTTACATCTTTGAAACACTCTTCTATTCCCCCCCCCTTTCGACTTTTTTTCAATTTGATGTTCCTTCCCCTCTGTGAAGCCTAAAGTCAACTAAAGGGCTAATGATAACCATCAAGACGCCTGCCATTTGATATAAATAAATAATCGTGCGTCCTACAAAGAAGTCTTTTTTCACTTTGACAAATATAAACTGGAAGGTGTACTTAAAAGATCTCATGACTAAAAGCCTAAAATTTGTCATCCAACTGGGCAGCTCCTTTGTTCAGTAGACTACTGCAATTAAATAATCCAAAATTTGGTGAAATCTAAATCGAAAAAAAACAATAATAGCTATGATGAGAATGAAGAAAACATTAATCAATCCCTGAAATTCAAATTACGAATGCAGAAAGTTGGGAGCACTTTTTCACTACTTGACGCTATCTTCCCACCAATACTGTTTTAGGCTTTTTCTTATACTAAAAAATTGTATAAGCATTCTCGCTTTACCAAGAACAACTATGATTTGATCACTAATTCACTCAAATACTTATTGATTACATAAGAGTAATGGATATAGTACATACCTCCTTCAGTAGATTTCAAGAAGGCAAATATCTGCATGGGATCATTAGAAGTTCTAAATCCAGCTTCTATAGTCTCTGTTCCACCTCTATATTGTAATACAGCACTTCCAGTTCTTCCGTTAAGATGATTTTCTTTGGAAATCAAGAAGATTATATCGTCATTCAGCTAGTTAATTGATTGGAAGAACAATATACTATTAACCCTCTGCTAAAACATCAGAAAGGAATACGAGAATAATAAACTTACTTTCATAAAAGTCTTCTTTCCAGGTTCAACTTCCATGTAAAATTCTCCATTTTGACCAAAAATGCTAATATTTGCAGCTAACAAAACGTTAAATGGTAAAAAAGCACGATCTCACTTATAATATCTTTGGATTGGCACATAATATGGTCTTTTGCATCCATTGTAATCGATCTATTATTAGGCTTCGATGCAATTAGTTGTGCATTTTTACAGAAAGCACGTCTTTTCGTTGATGAAAATTCCGCCAAAAGAGTATTTGGATCCGCAGATTTTCGATAGAGTTTAAGACTATTTCGAATTCCGTCGTCAGTATAAACACAGACTATCGGATCCTATAGAAAAATATATTATTTGAAACTAATGTCATTTTACTTTCAGAAGACATGAAGAAATTTTAAATCTATTCGGATTTTCGCGGCTTATTTGCAGATAAGTATCCGTTCTTTGGAGAGACAAACGCCTATTCCGGATGTAATATTTTTTTCCTGATCTGCCAATTTTAATACGATTGTCGAGATTTTCCATTGCAACCTCGTTTTTTCCAAGCTTCAATAGCAAACTACCACCTAATCGACGATTCCATGCTGTTTCAACAGTAACTGTACGATCCGCAAGATCAATCCAACCTCCCACACCTACTTCTCTGTCCTTGGTCATAAGAGAAATGGCGTGTGGTATAAATCCATTGAACTTGGTTTCAATTGCAATTGGGTTGACACCATTGCTTATGGGGACGGTTATGTTGAAAACACGTTGTGAGTGAATGGAGTTTGTTGAAGTGCTTCCGAGTATTATTGATTTGCAGTTCATGAAGTTGCTTGCACATCCACTGCTGACGAATTCTTTGCTAGAACCACCGAGTAAGTTTGTAAGGTCTGTTTTGGTCACTGTGCCCAAAACCGCGGAGGTTCTTGACAATGCTAAATAATTCTCTCCGGCGAAATCAAATAACACTCTTGCATCCATTTCAATAGGCGTATCAGCTTGAATTACAATCCTAAACGAATTCCGTGTGCGCCAATCGTAGGCACACCGCATATTAACTGGTGAATTTACGTAAGTTATCATAAGGTGATACATGTCAGTAAATTCTAATCCACAAGCAAAATCGTCAAAATGAAGCAGGTAAGTCTTTAACTGGTTGCGATCCTGTTCTCTAGGTATTTCATTTGCCAAAAGACCCAGAATATAACCCAAATTTGCCTTTAGGTCCAAGTCGTGCTTTCCAAATTCTCCAGACGTTGCCAAGGAAATGTTACAAACTAGAAAATGTGATTTAGTTGATAAACCAATTTTAGTTTCGAGGGAACTATTATCATGTTCCAACAGTCCGTGCAAATTAATCGCATAGCTCTCCGAATTTATCTCCATCTCTTTCAGTAGTTTAAAGTGGAAAATAGTTGTATTGGCTTGTTTCACTAAAAACCCAAATTCTTTATCATTAGAGATCAACTTGATTTGGGCTTTCATATTAGCTATCACGTCAATCGATGTCCACTTAGAGTTTTTAAGCTCCATATTTACAGGCTTTGGTCCAAATTCCTCCTTATTGTCAATATTCAATGAGTGCTTTTTGTCATTAATACATCGAAGGTTGTAATCAGAGCCTGATGTGCAACTTAATTTGTTCGAAATTTTCAGGTTCCTATTGGCTATCAGTGGGGAATCTATGTTGATATCTAAAGTGAATGACTTTCCATCTTCAGTGATCTCGAATACACTCGATTGGGTGTGCAAATCTCCATTCTTTTTTGTGATAGTGGTTGTGGCTTTAAAAACGCGTTGGTCCTTAAAGTTGAAATTGAATTCACTATTGAGAAATATCGGCTCAGTTTTGAAATAACCTTCCACATCAAAGTTTGTTGGACTTGTGTTTGCGATCAAAGTATGACTTTGAATCTTTGCAAATAGGCGGATCGGAAACCTTTTGGTAAGAACAGAAATCTGGATTTTCGGCGGCTTTTTATCAGAAGCAGATAATAAGAATTCCGCTTCCAGGTTTTCTTTTGTTTTCGCCCTTGCTTCAATATCGATTAACGGTGAAGAATCCAACTTCCCCTTATATTGCAATTCCCAAGAAAGGTTAAATAAATTGGCACCGAAGTCAACTTCTAATAACGATCCCTCACGGCTGCCCTTTAGTTTTCCTTGATGTACGTTTTCACCAGCCCACACAGCCTTAGTTCCTATGGCCAATGCTTGGTTTTTAATCTTAAAGTCCGCTTCAGCAACAAGCTCCGTTTGTTTATCATCGGGTAAAGTCCAGACTAATACTGCGCTACCCTCCGTCCTTGGTTTATCTAGTTGTAAGTTCAAGGTTGCTTGAGAACCAACCACGCCGCGTCCGAGGTACTTTCTCCAATTAAAGAGTAGATTAATTTCCATGTCCAAACCCCCTTTCGCATCATCCAACTTATCACTGTATAACATTTCAATCATCTCATTTCCGAATACTTTTCCCATGTTACTGTCCTCAGCGTAGACTTGAACTTCATATCCACTCACTTTAGTTTTTCTGATTACTTGAATTCCATATCGGAAGGGCATTCCTGGTGGTATTGCTTTATTTTCATTCCATTCTCCCTGATTCTCCACCTTGAGCAATTCTCGAGTGAACGTCCAGGAAATTTGTGTCTTATACAGAAACCCGCCGAAGTTAGATTTTTGTGTGCCAGGATGCATTGAGAAATAGAGAGATATTTCGCCTTCATTAGCCTTATGTCCAAAGTCACTAGAAATCTTCAGAATTACTTCATCATTGGTATGAGTTTTGACAAATAGACCTGTTTGCTTATAGCCGTTATCACTGCTTTCTGCATCGAAATTGACTATAAATGATCGATTTTGCTCAAAACCATGGAATGAGGCATTTAAAACAATTGGAAGGAGAGCATTTCGACCTTTTGAGAAGGCAAGATCAAAACCATATTTCTGCGAATCCATGCCTAATATAAACTTTGCTCCCAATGCTCGATAGTCATTGATATCTGCTGTCAGTCCGGTATCAAGAAGGAAACCGTTTTTAACGTTCGGAAGATCTATTTTTAAGCCAAAATGCTGCCAAGCTAAAGCATTAAAATTGACTCTGGAGATAGTTGTCCTATCGATGATGCGCTTCGTACGTGCGATGTAGCCTATTTCACGAGTAGAGAAAGTGAAGTTCTCATATGCTGTGTACAAATGCTCACTGCCAATATAGATACTTGTTTGTGAATTGACTTGAATACGTCCACTTACGACCTTTAAGGTGTATGGAGAATGGAAACGTATGTGGATGCCCTTGTGATCCGTCAAATTCAAGCTCCCTATGTGTGTGTATGGGTCGAGCGCATAGCTCAACTTGTACTTCGGAGATTCTCCACAAAGAAAATCTGAATTTAATGATATGACCGAATTTTCAAGTGAGATGAAGGCGTTCAACCTGCTTGGTTCACCTTGACATACTAAGGGGTTGTGTACACTCATGTTAAACGTTCCGTTTAGTACAATTGTATCCCTCATAATCACTACTCCTTTGGCTTCAAAAAGGTTCTGAAATGATGGGAAAATAGTTTAGGTCAACGATTCATTCTCTACACTCCTTTTCAAATCTTTCCAGATCCTATGCAATCCTTATGTTAACGGAAGTTAGGTACTAAGTGCAATTCTCTCATATCTACTTTATGTGTACTTTTATGCATCAATTATAGCCTTGAATTTTTATTACACGACTGTAATGATTCTTATCTGGGCACACCTTTACAGTTTGCAGTCCTAAATACCTTGTCACATTTTAAGTGCTGTGGTAAGGTAACGTATTTTTCTAGGCTAAACCTTCAGTCTATTTTATTGAGGAATTGGACATAAGCTAAGCTAGATATCTCTCCAATCAGCAAATTGTGGACGTCAACTGAATCCGTGACAATTTATTTGGTAACATTGACTCGATCACTGTTCTATGGTGTTTAGATTGAACTAGCAATGGAGGCAAGATGGGTACTTCCTTCCACACTTGTACTCATGGGTGCATTTGTTCCGTTTCATGCTAATAGGTGCTAACCTCTTTTTATTCTAGATTACCTTGCCTAAAAGACTACCTTTAGTAAACGCCTGCTTATACTGCGCTTTCTACAAAGACCAATTGCCTACTGTTAGCCGATAAAATAGTTCCATTTCCGCAAAGAGCTTAACTTTGCTCCTTAAACTCAGCGCAGATTTTGATCGACTTCTAAAGGAATAACTTGCTCAAATATGCGCTCTAATTTACACCAAGTCCAAATCACAAATATGGTGCAATCCATTTTTGTCAATGAGTCAAATGTAAAATAAACTTACTATATTTTTTTCCTTCAAATCAACAGTCGCTTCATAAGCATGGACATAAGCAGATTTTGGATAAATGTTTCCGTATAGATTCACGCTATATCGTTGAGCCCAGAGTTTTAGGCCATAATGCTCATTTACTGCGTCTGTTATGTTCATGGTCATTGACGAACCAAAGGACCATGGTTCTGAGCTTGAAAAAGAAGTAAAGAAAACGATTTTACTTCGGCACTGGGATTTAACTTGAAGCTGCTGTAATTTTTCACTTATGTGAGTGTCAGGAGATAACTCTCTGTTCTAATTCTTGTAGTCTTTCCAAATCTCTCACTCCATCTGATATTAACTCTTTAACGCCCTTAGGACTGTATGATGCTCTTTCGAAGTAAGCTCCATTGGTACTAGACTCGTAACAGAATTCGCTATTGACATTTGAAACACACTCAACACATCTATAGCCTTCGACTGATACCACCAAAACTCATCACGTCGGCGGCATCAGTCTGCTGTGAGACACGCGTGTGGTTGGGTGAAATTTTTCAAAAATAATTCGAGCCTTAAAGCGTTAAGCAATAAAGTTGGTGCTGGGGAGTTAAGTAAACTGCTATAAACCCATTTGAATTAAAGTATTCACAGAGATTTAGAAATCTACAAGCAAATTTCTTTCCCCCTACATTTATGTTAATGACTAAAAAAGTAGTTAATTTTGTAATCGCTGCTTGTAAAATAATATAATGTGAGTCATGAGTCGATAAGTAAGTTCTTTTTCACTTGTTCATGTCTGGAAAGGCAGTTAAAAATTAGGCGTTAACTAAATCTTGTTGCTCCAAATGGCAAAATTTGATCTCCCTAAGACATGCAAGATTCAGATAAGGCTGTTTTAATGGGGATGAGGTTAAATTGAGAACGCCTATACAATGCGAGGTATTCTGAACTATTTAAATTTGGAAGCTGTTCACAAAATCGATGTGCATGCATGTCTCTTTTGACAATTCTCGCTCTGATTTACAATGAAATGTGCATAGGTGGGAATTTCTTATCCTAACTAATTACTACATCAGAGTGTCAAACAAAGGGTGCAGTGATCTTAATTAAAGTAAGCCATACTGCATCCTCCAAAAATTCTTAATGATGTTTCGCTTGTGTTAAATAAAACCAGTTTCTCACTGTGTGCGTATTTCCCTTCCAATTCCTATTCTCTACTGGAGCTACGAAGAGACATATTGTACTTTAACCACCTAAAGTGAAAAATATTGAGTAAAATGACAAATACAACATGGACGTCGGTATCAAGTGAATCTCACGGAATCGTCTTCGAGTCATTCAAATTAAACACTTGACAGCATTAAATGCAAATCATATTAAATTTACAATTTTATATTTGGTCAAAATATCAATCCTAAGGAAAACAACTGTTTTGTCTATTTAAAATTAAGTATTTGGATAAAATTTTCCTTTGGTAAGTGAAATTTGGTTCCGTAACAATAAATTTCTACTTTCTTCTGCTATATTTGGTCGCAATATGCGATTAGATCTAGTTTTTAAAATTTCAAGTTCAAAATTGACTTACCCTCCGCCATTATCGTACAGCATAGAACTGAAAAGAGAAACAAAATGTAATAACATTATTATTATTTCAAATGGCAGGCTTTATGATATTTATCACTAGCCCCAATAGTTTGAAGTTATAGAATTTTGCCGCATGAGTATACGCTGTCTAGGGTACACCACGTGGAGGTAAGTTCATTAAAATTAATTCGTTATCTTATTAAGTCGGCTTTATTGCTCATATGATGAAATTTATTTTCGAATGTATCATAAATCGAATTCTCCATTTCAGCTCACACACCGTCAATAGTTGGTATAAATATAAACTTGCCAAGCCCAATAGGCTGCAATGTTCAGCCTAGAAGAGACTGTTTATCTGAGACTTATTGCTAAAATTAATTATCTTCTTAGACATTTGGTATTTGGAATGTTATGACTGTGATTGATTGGAATTGTGGGAACCAACCACATTGGGTGAAGTGTCAGGATATACTTGAGCAGACAACGGAACAAATGATGAATTGAAATTGACCTCTTCGTCCCGTGATATCTCAAAGTAATGAAGCTGAGTGACTTAATGATGACCTACAATTGCAATTATATTTCCTAAAGAAGTTGAGGCATATCACCACGCCAGTACACGGTCAACGCTTTGACATGTGTCCATAAAATGAATTTCTGCGTGTGCATGTTTAGGGAAATTAATAAAGTCTGAGGCACAAACCTATCATTTAGCAAGCACGTTAAATTTAGCACTCAAAAATTATCATCCATTTCGTCTCTGCAATGATGTAATCATTTGAACGCCGATTGACATTATTTTCCGGTTGGTAGACATATATTCCCAAAAAGAGGAGAATATGGATCGAATTAGCGAGATCGGCCAACCGGTTATAGTGGATACGAATTTGCTCAGTAATCCAGAAGACATAACAAAAAAGGCAATTTTCTAATGTCTGCTGCTGATCAAACAAATTGTGTGCAACACGTATTCGAAAACTACACGAATGACGCCTGTTTGACACCTTGACCTCATTCACCTCCTTTTTATCCCCCCTCTTTCGCCAATCACTGAAGTCAATGTTACTTAATTATGGTTACTTTTCCATTAACGAAAATTGAACTATTTTTCAAAGCCCTATTGTGAAAAATACATCAGTAATAAAGTATCTGATTTAGCCCTAGGAAAGCATTTGCGAGAAGTTAATACGAGCTTCGCGTTTGGATGCAATTTTAAAGAAGCCTCAGCCTTCCTTTAGTTCTTTTAAATTTGCTTTTATCAAATACCGTAACTTACAGGGTGTAGTTATAAGCGTCCGGTACGATCATATGTTCATTTTCAAAGACTTTCTTCGCCACAACTTCGCCCTTTAACCTTCTCCTCGAATTGCTTCTCTCGACCTGCAGATCGAGCATTCCCAAGATATCTCGTGGATCCCATCCTAATTCGGTTTCAAGAGAAACACGATCTCGCCAGTCAGGCAACTCCAGTAAACTTTGAAGCCTAATCGATTTCGGATTGCTGTAATCCATGGATGCTAAAATAGCATAACGGATTTGAATATTAATACAACCATTTATCACTTATATGTATATATAATTATGGGGTGCGTGATAGACTTACCTCCACGTGGTGCACCCTGGACAACGTATCAATAGACTTACCTCCACGTGGTGCACCCTGGGCAACGTATATTCATACGGCAAAGTCTATTAACTGGTAGTTGACTTCTCCACATACGGCAAAAATGTCTATTAACTGGCAGTTGACTTCTCACTTCAAACTACCAAAGACTCAATAAAAAAGTCTATTATTCGGCAGTTGACTTCTGACTTCAAAGCGGCAAAAAAGTCTATAAACCGGCAGTTGACTTCTCACTAGCGGCAAGAAAGTCTATTAACCGGCAGTTGACTTCTCACTTCAAACTACAAGTCTATTAACTGGCAGTTGACTTCTCACTTCAAACTAACAAGTCTATCAACCGGCAGTTGACTTCTGACTTCAAACTACAATGAGCCGACTATTGCCCCATCCACAGAACTCATCTTACCTTTTTTATGCATTTATGTCTTTCTGTCTCACTTCAAACTACTATGGCCCGACTATTTGTCATATTCGACCCCGTTCACAGTACTCATCTTACCCTTTTTATGCCTTTGTGTCTGTCTGTCTGTCTCTTTTAAAGTAATGTCTATTAACTGGCAGTTGACTTCTCACTTCAAACTACCAAATAAAAAAGTCTATTATTCGGCAGTTGACTTCTGACTTCAAATTACCATGACTCCACTGTATGTCATATTCGACCACTTCCATGGTACGCACCCCACCTCACTCTATGTCATATTCGACTACTTTCACAGTACTCACCCCACCTTTTTTCTAACTTTGTGTCTGTCTCTTTTACATCTTTGAACAAACTTTGTGTCTGTCTCTTTTACATCTTTGAAACACTCTTTTGTTCCCCCCCCCTCCCCCTCTCGACTTTTTTCACTTTGATGTTTTCCACCTTTGTGTTTGTCTCTTACATCTTTGAAACACTCTTCTGTTACCCCCCCCCTCTCGACTTTATTCCTCTTTGATGTTCCTTCCCCTAGGTGGAGCCTGAAGTCAACTAAAGAGCTAAT